ACATCCCTCAACGCACTCCTAACAACAAATACCCTACCTTGCATGTGCACAAACGCCCAAGGCCTTCTGAGTATTAGGTCGAACTTCGGGAACTCCATGCCTCACAACTACAGGACTTCGTCATAAAACAGAGCCATTTTTAAAACCTGAGATAACCGATTCTGAGATCTGGTTACCTGGTAGGTCGCTGATTCGGACCGATAACACCCGAAGGGGTGGCGGTGTGATTATTTATTATAATATAAACCGCCGAGGTGGTTATCGAGCACCCGGAATTGCGAGCTCCTGGTTTGCTTTGGTACCGCCTTTGGTTGCAAATAAGTACACATTTCTACTAGCCGTGATTTATCGCTCACCAAGCTCAACGTCAGAACTGGACTCTAAACTGAACCACATCTTTCAGTTTGCTTTGAACAAGTCCTACACCCACACGCTTATCGCTGGAGACTTTAACGTGCACAACACAAACACCGGTAACCGATTGTACGCAGTTTAAAGCCTGCTTGCAAGAGCTAATTGCTAGCTACCCTCTGTACAGCCACCTAACCCCACCCCAGCTTTCTAACCGCTAACCAGCCACCGCTACTGTGTTTTGTGCTAACTATCGAAGAACTCAAGGTTGACGGGACAGTTACAAGCACACCACTGCGTCGTAGTGAGCGTGTTACTATACTCTTTGACTATATAAGCCATGCGAGGTAACTTGAAAAGGAGTATGATAAAGCGCATAGTGGCACGCACTACAATGTGTTATATAAGCTTGCTGAGGATACTTCTTGGACTTTCTCAACCAAATTCCCCCAAATGTTGCCTGGGAAACTTTTACAAGGACTTTTAGCACACTAGTTACGCACGCATCGGAACAGAATTCTCTTCAACCCAAAAAAAGCATAAGTCATTTCTGAGGAGCAGAAAACGTAAATGTGTCCAAGAGGAATTTGGCATGGCGAGGTCACCAGGACTACTCGAATGCCGAAACCTGAGTTGCACACTGACACGTCGTAAATGCTGGGTGAAACTGATCCGCGAAACCAAGGTCACGCACCAGCAGGAGTTAATGAAGCCTTTCAACACGAACCGCCAGCTTCTGTGCTGGCACGCTGACGGCCTTCGAGAGGTGAAGCGTGATATTCCAGCACTAGTCAAGGCTGATGGGAGCACGCGATCAGCAGCGAAGCAGCTGGTCTCCTACGGTTTCATTACCCCCAAACTTTCCGGCAGGTAACGAGCAAAAACATCCTCCTCATTTCTATTACTCGACCAAATGGTTTGGACAACCTCACCTTTGCTGCTCTAGCCGCGTTGAGGTTGTTATCCTTACACGTCCACAGTGCTTTTAGAGTCGACAACCTCCAACCAAATGCTCTGCAGGCGGTAGCTAGTGATCTAGCAGAACTGCTGGCTGTTTTCTGTCAACGAAGTCCAGAAGAGAACCATATTCCACCAGTATGGCAGCGCGAGGTCATCACTCCTCTCCATAAAGTAGCTAGCCGCACTGATACTGTCAACTACCGTCTAATAACACTACTTCCCTTACTATCCAAAGTAGTGGAATCAAGCATCACAGATGCGCTGACGCAGTATCTGGAAAGTCACAACTTAAAAGCCCTAGAGCAACATGGCTTTCGTCAAAAGCATTCGTGTAATACTAACCTTTTGATTGCACGTAATAGCTGGACTGAAGTTCTTGATTACGGAGTAGGAGTCGAGATCATCTACCTGGACCTTCCAGAAGCTTTTAGTCACGTAGACCAACGCGTTCTCCTTCAGAAACGTCGTAGCTACGGCGTTGGCGACCCGATCCTGAGTTGGATTAGCACTTTCAACACGATCGACAGCTAGTGGTGAGAGTCCGGGAATCATTGGCTGATGCAATCGATGAAGCATGTGGAGTATCACATGGCCCGGTTCTTGGACCTTGTCTATTCTTGACGTTCATTAACGAGTTGGCGAGATAAATGGCCTACGATTTCCTGTATTATGCGGATGGTATCAAGATATGGCTAAGGATCAGAGGACCGGACGACCACGAAAGACTCCGGTATGATTTTAACCGATTATCGAAGTGGGCAACCCAAAAGCCCTACCATTCAACGCAGAAAAATGTCGCGTCGTACAATTACGCCGTAGAAACGTGCCCTAGGTATGATCGTACAGAGCGACCTCAACTGTTTAAAACAGGCTGAGGTAGCACCGAAAGGAGGCAACCAGCACTTGGGCATGTTGCGAATTGTATTCGAGAGATTTGAGCCAACAAGCTTCCCGAGGGTGCAAAAGTTCTGCGTCCACCTGCATGCTTAATATGCTATCCAATCTTCACAACCTTGGTTAAAACGCAGCCTAGAAGCGTTAGAGGCACCACAACGAAGAGCAACAAAGAATGTAAAGGGCCTGCGCTATCACACACCACCGAAGGCACAAGTTGCTAAGAATATTCAGCGGACGCTATCGAAGACTGCGCGGTAATCTCATATTAGCCTAACAGATATTGAGTGACCCCAAACACGTAGACCGTCACATGCTGAAACTTGGCCACAATACGCAGCTCAGTGGAAACTGCTTAAAATTGAAGGGGCAATATAACCGTCTACAGTGTCGACGTAAGTGCCTTTCACCTTTATTTTGCCAAACTTAGAAAGCACTCCCAGACGCCGTTGTAGCCTTTTCTACCTTGAACATTTGCAAAAAAACCATTAGACGTTGCTCTCAGCTCCTAGCATTTTGTTACATAAACTCCTCTATTGGGGATTAGGCCAAGCATACTTTTCTACAGGATCTATGTATCAAACGGATCCAAGTGTTTGAACATGTTCTACTTTCCTCACGCCTTACAGTAACGATCACTGCACCCCAGTGCCTTTCTGAACGTTTACGCTGGATACTTTTAATTATACACATGTTATTTAGCAAAGTATTCATCTAGGCAGACGTTCGGTAGATGCCATAGATATATTTTATTTTCACCATATGCACCCCAACCATCCTACGGGATGTGTCAAGCACTTGCGTTTAGCCCGTGGCATAGCCTTGAGCATTGTTCACTGTGCTTGTTCGATGTCAGCGGATGCAGCGAATTTCTCTTATCTGACGTTAAACCCGGTTGCCATGTTTCAGGCAGCAGCAACCTCGGTTATACGAAGTTCCAACGGTGCCTTTCGGTTGCTATATCTGGCATCGCTTTCCTTGCGCTGCGGAATGCAGCCGCGGCCTCCGCGCCCATTGTGAATTTTTTACACTGCGTCACAGATCCCTGCCTTGATAAGGAAGTGAGGTGCAGAAACTGCACTCAAAAAGCAGCATCCGAGAATTGCCGTTCTGTTTCTTGGAACCAGAAGTAGTCCTCTTGCGATAAGTATTGCATGTTTTGCCCACTGGATGAACGCGAAAATACTTCCACCTTGTATATCTCGCCAACAGTTCGCAGAAGCATGTCATGACACTTATTGTACGGGTGAACTTTTCCGCGCCTTTATTCAACATTTGGCTTATGTTCCCGCCTCCGTGGCAATAACGCAAGGGTGACGCCGCCCTACGACATGCAAAGCCCGCCTGGTTAGGCCAAGGTCATATTGAAGTGGTGCAAATGCACGCACCTGCCGCGCCCGACGACACGTCTTCCTCAAGTGGGCTACCATGCTTACCTGTCCACTTGTTAGTCGCCGCTTTTTGGGATAAAGACAAGGCTTGTTCACATGTAAATGGTGCGAAAGCTGAAGACACGCTTATCACAACCCTTAACCTCCTAACTCCAAAAACACAGATAACCGTGACTAGCAATTGTAACACCAGTATTTGTTCGAAAATACTTATCTGGATACACAACAAGTACCGATTTCCAAAAGCGGTCGATAGTTTGCTACGCACGTACATGAATGGAATATTTTGGTACATGCGACATTCGGGAAGCATGTGCCCAGTTTCCCTTTTATACTCTTCCTCTGTAACCACGTTCGGACAAGAAAAATATTGCTAATTCCCTCTACAAAAGTGCTACATCTACACCGACAACTGAAAATTAACGACGGGGCACCTTAAAGCTACGTCTAACGGAGCTGGAGTCATTCACCACAGCTGTCGTCAGAAGCGAGAAAATGCTTAACAGCGTAACGCAATTAAACCATTGAATTCACTGAACACTGTAAGCTACTATCATATTATCAACACCTTACACAATATAACAAACGTTCTCATGCACCGAAAAGTCTTCGGTTTTAACTTAGCATTAAAGAACTTGTGTACCGCACTTATCCTTTAAAATAATCTGGATCGCCCGTGGCGCATTCGACGGTCCGACTAGCGGTTAGATGAAGCAACCCCGTAATACAACTACGCGCTTGCGATGAGGACGAAATAACAGTAAGATGGATATGGCAACTTCAACAAGCAACTGTTAGTACCTAGTTTTGCTTTTGCGTTTGTGGGGTGAGGTGTTTGTTATATTCTAACACATAAACTATCACTATTAAAGCAATTTACGTGGCAATTTGAAATGTTTCAAAAAAGGTTTAGAAAGCGGCAGAACTCGGAAGCATGAATAGGTCTGCACTCAAAGTACAGGTGCAAACGGCAATGCTCTGTGCTTCGTTATATTCATAATTAGACGCGTTATAGACGTACAAATTGTCGCATATTAATAATTCATGAGCAAAATTTGTGAGTAAGCGGACATGAAGACGCATACATAAAGTTCAAGCTTAAGCGGAACAGCTTGGTATATTGTACAATGTTAGCCTGTGAATGCGTCGTTTTCTGTTAGCTACCTATCTTGATTAAACCTGGTTGATTATATACGCATATATGGTTATAGTACTCATCCTACTAAAATTGCACAATTATTTAAAGTTACTCATAAAATGCCGCGTAGATATTTCTACGTGTATAATGTAATGTACCTAATAACCCAGTTAATCACTTAAACACAGATGTAAATACTTGCATGTATGTATCATTATTTGTATGCTTCTTAATTGCTGACAAAAAGCTGTTAAGCGCAGTCCGAACTCACCAATAAATCATTCCGTTCCATTAATTTTTTCCGATTTTTTGCCGCTCTCCCGGGAAGCTCTTGTAACATCGTTAAGAATAACTGCAGTCAGACCATTATCACAACTAGTGCAAGATAAGCATTGATGGAGCCGAAAAAGGTGGCTATACGACCAGCAATAGACGACAGTACGTTTGAGGCATTGGAGAAAGAATATAACGAAGTATGATTGACTCCTGAATATTCAGTCTTGTGCATAGGTTGTTGGCGAACTAGAAGAGAACAAGGAAATGGAAAGGTTTAAGGATGAATACGGAAAGTTAATGCGAGCACTGCTTAAGTCCCATGAAAATGAGAAACGTCTGATGAGAAAATGCAGAGAACTTAAAGCCGAAATAGTTTCGAACACTGCCAAAGTGTCCCAAGCAGCAAAACTATCCAGTGATGATCCAGCAAACATGGCATCTCTTAAGAAAGAGATTGAGAAAGCATGGAAAATGGTTGACGTTTCTGCTGATAAAGAAACTAAGGCGCGGGAAACCATTGACAAGTTAAAATCAGAAATTGCTCACTTAAGCAGACTCGTCGAACAAGGAGGAACCGCTAATGGAGCAGAGAGGTGAGTCTGCGTCGTCAATTTCGATGACTTTTGCTGCGCATGTTAGTAGTAATACGTGTTGTTTGATACTAAGCAAATTATTGAATGCAACATGCCGTTATATATTCTTCATATGTAAAAAGATGCAGTTACGCACAGCGTTCCTAAGAGACTAATATCCTATCTTTGAATCCGCAGCCTTCCTTCCTGAAATGCGTAAGTGAGCTGACAGCTTTTTTGACAAGTGGTGCTGAATTCTTTTGCTATGATTTTATACACAACGTTGCAACCATGTAATAACTCTTCTCATTTAGTTTCTATCGTTACTGCAAACCTATATGCATCCCAATTGCTCTCCTCCACTACATACATTGCGTTTGAAAATGGAACATAAATTTTTACCGGCATCCATGATGCAGGCGTGGCGATATAATGGTGCAATCTCAAACTTCATTTAGCCGTGCCGCATGTGTAGCCACAAAAGTGAAACCTTAAAAATGTATCTTCTGTTATGTAGATTTCCATGAGTTGCTTTAGGTTAAATGGTTTTGAGCTATTTGCTGACAATTGTCTGAAACTGTCGATGACGTTGCTAAATAAATGGATTTTATATGGATGGGCGTTTCTCCATCAGGTTGAGGTCTTATTCGCGGTGCGTTAGAAGCTGGTTTAACGGTAGATAGGAGGTATTACAGCATCATTCATAATGACTAATAATGTCAAGCTTCAATTTTACTTGTGGGTTGATAATTAAAACTGTAAGACTACAATCGCATGGCCGTGAGCTCAATTTGTTCTCTGAACCAAACAATCGGCACTTCTGATCAGCCTGTTTTCTTTTTGGCCAAAAAGTAACTGCTTGAATCTGTATAGTTTGGATGAACTTCCTGTCGCATAGATAAAAACTTCGTAATGGTCTGTAACTTTCATGGATATCTAGGCACACGGGCATGCAGCCATTATTTAAACCTTCAAGACAGAAATGCATGTCATGCAAAATAATATCCGTTTTACTTTAGTGAATCCGAGCGTTTATAACACAAGTTTTTGGAACGCTAGCATATGGCTAGCAAGCACCAATCCTTAAGAACACACTTGACAATGCACCAAAATCAGAGCCTAAACTGAGTCAAATAAGACGGACTACAATCTCGGAACCTACGAGCAAACTTGCAACGATGTAGCAGACTGAGGTGAAAGACAGTGCAGTAACTTGTCGTCTGAGAGGAAACTCGATGGCTGATGAGTAATGCGGAAGGCCAGGGTTTGCTCTCCGGCAATTGCAACGCAATTCGCCTTGTGTAAAACGCTTGTCTTAACCTCAGTTATCCCACCACCAAGACACATAACCAAGTAATCAAACTGCGAGAATAAATACAACCAACCCTTTGAAGTCAGACCATACTGCGTTTATAGCAGCGTTTTGGCCAACGACCTATTATACAAAACTCTTGATTTCTGCTTTCTTTTTATGCTGAAATTGATGGTTTGAGGAAAAAACATAATTTTTGTCCGCAGTCGCGTTTGGAGGGAAGAAGGAACAAACGGTTACCGTGAACGTCTAAAACATTTTAAACTTGTCTTCAAAATGATTAGAACGCTTGCGTTTGCAACAGCAGGCACAAGTAAAGGCCTAAATGAAGCAGCTCAATTTGCCCACTATGAAAATGGCATTGCATGACGTGCAGTCCAGTTTTATTTATGTGCTCACCATTATTATTAACGAAATTACTTACTTAGCTGGCGCAGTGCATTTTTAAAACGTGGTTCTAACGTCGGATGGACAGGTTTTGGATGGGTTATATTTGTCAAGTTGATTCCTGCAAAGTGAGATTGTCACTACGAAAGCTTGTTACAAATGTGCATTCAAGATTCACCGACCATTTTGCCCGAACAACAAGACGAACTCACGTCGACGAAGTAGTATTCATTGAAATCTTTGGTAAATCAAATGTTCCCTTTAGTTTTTGCTGTCGGTGCTTACAATTCGTCAAGCAGAAGACAGACGAATAACGAGCGCCAGTAGACATGGTAAACCTTAAATCCAAACATTTTAATTTGTGCTGTCTGGCGAAGGTCCAATTTTGGTGTCTCCTTTTGGTCAGTGCTCAACAGTCCTTAACTATGTTAACATTTGCAGATAGTTTATTTCAAAGCTGTTTCAGGGTTCAGAGTTTACGCCTAACTTCCTTTTTTGTGACTGCGAACATCTATTTACTTTGAAGCAGGACATGCTCCCAATCGTACGGAATCAGTCCGCCTTACCGAATACCGTACTTTCTTTGAAAAATAGCAGAATTGCTAGCTCAAACAACCCGTTCCGGCATACTCAGAATAACTAAGCTACAGCATGCTAACCATGCGGTAAATGAAACTTTGCACGCCTCTACCCATTAAAAATTTATACGTGTAAAACTGTCATAAGCGAGGTCATTAACTATCCTGCAGCTATCCTTAGCTAAATAACATAAAGAAACCCCGACGATACAGGCAAACTAGAAAAGCTGACGCATTATTTTTGGTTATTTACTGCAGTTTACGGTGCGTTTAGACCACGCCAAAGATTCCTCACCATCCTCTTTAATGCAAACTGAACGCTCGGCAAGCTGACGAGTAACAGGGAAGAACCAAACGAATATGGGAAAAGTGGAGAGCCGCAAAGCAAAAAGCCGTTTTGCGCTATTAAGGTTTAATAGATTTATTATAGAATACTGGCAACGCGTTTGCTGGAAAAGCTTTTGTTGAAAAGAGGTCATTCGGTTAACCTTCAGAAGGAAATAGTAAGGAGTAGATTTGTATGTAAGAAAAGCGGGCTAAGAACAGTCTCTCAAAAAATTAAACACTTCTTGGTAAAGAAAAATTAGTTACTGTTGCGTGAATTTATACGATTTCTACTATTGGTTTTACCAAGTGCCAGGTAGTCGACTAATATTCCCTAAATGATCTGTCAGAAAAAGTCCTCAAATAAGCTATTGAGTCACAATATTTCAAGTTACCGCGTATAGACTGCTTTTAAGACAGCACTTATTACTTAACAGAACTGACCATTCACTGGTCATCATGATAGAGAAACGTCACATAAGTTGCCTACTTATACACTGATGTGTGTGTTTTCAGCCCAGCATACGAGTTTTGATACGTTACTCCACTGATTGTGTCCGGAAAAACATTGTATAGCCTATCACACCAATTAATCATAGTTATTAGCCACATACTAAATCATTGACTTGGGATGTTGCCGTATGTTTACTAGCATTCCGTTAACGATACCAATTTTCAAATAACCGCAAAGCAATAAAAACGATGCATATTTCTGAATATTTACTCTGGTAAAAACGACGATGTTTAGTAACGATCCACTAATAACTCGTGTGTCAAAAATCTTCCCTAACAGTCCATACATTAATTAAATTATTTGTTCGATAAACTTACTTCGTTCACGGCGCTTTTTTGCTTTTGCTGGTTGCTTCTTTTTGGTTTAGATGAAAACAGTTTATTCATGCATTGCATTGACTAGGTAAGAAAACCATAAGCATGTATACAGGCGCTTAAAGATCTGAGCTAATTTGGATCGCGTTTTCAACATCAACTTGGTCTAATAAGGCTAGAACTTAATTTTTATAAAGGGCTATCAACTATGTTGTAACTAAGCACAAAATGCTTACTCAAACTGTCTGCTTTGAAATAGCTTGCGTCTACTCAGTGTACTTAGGTGCATACGTTCACTTTTTTCCTTTCTAAGAAACACTTATTTTGGTTTACTATCCTAGATTTTATGAGCTTTGGCGTACAAAATGCAGCAGCTAAATGGAACAAAGTTTCTTCATCATGCAATAGTTGACACAGTAAGATGGGTTAGACTCGTATTGGTGGCTGGCGGATTGTCCGCGCAACACCGAACTGTGGTCAACGAAATGCAAGGTTAGTCAGTGCAGCCAACGCATCTGGATCCAAATTACACAGACCGAATAATTAGTGATAGGATACTTCGCGGCCATGTGAAGCAAGCACAATTTTGGTCCTGAACAAAGGCAGGCGAGCCTCCCGAGCGCAACACTTACCCTGTGCAGACAGCGCATGATGCGATGGTGGCTTATTGATCAAGCGAGCGAAAAGGATGCGGCCGGCGGTTGTTAGGTCAATCATCGCTGCTCTTACAAGCTGAACCTATTTGCACGGGCCAGATGAACGATTGAGAAGCGGTTTGGAGTACTTTGTACAAGGCGTAACTTTGTTCTAGCCAAGAGAAAATTGCTCCAAACTGCAGTGAACTGGTGACGGGCGCGCGCCAACGAACTGCAACAGGTAACTTGCAAGAATTAGCCAGTGCGAATGCACTACATTAAAGTAGTGCTTTAAATCTTTGCAAAGTCTGCACTGAGCATTTGTTCCTGAGCAACGGAGCTTTGGATCGCTACTCAGTCTTCGTTTTGATTCCCGGAGGTCTGTGTGGACAAAGATGATAACCAGCATGACAATTTCACTTATTCTTTATCCACAAAACACTATGTCTGGCTTACTTGACCCTATCATAATTTTACGGGAAGCGCAGCAGTGGTTGTGCGTGTAGTGTGGACCACAAGCCATGAGTTACGGGAGTATGGCGCAGCGGGTATAGCTGCTCGTTACTGTGGTAGTATAGGAAAGCTTGGAGTCGTATAAAGAATCCTTTTATGAAATAATTGAAATTAATATTTTTGGCATCACTATGCAATGTAACGCAACTGTATTCCAGCGATAACACATCCAACTTTTACCATACCGATATATCGCGTATTCTTTAAAATTGTCCGACCATTGGCAATACAGTGCGATAGAGTCCAACTGCCACCACAGCAAGGTTGGACTTTAACGCCCTACTGTGGTATGTTTGCCCGAACGTTCCACTGAGGTATGCTAGGCGGTGCCTTTTGCACTTGCAGAGTCACTCCTACCAGATTGTTCAGATGTTATAGGTCAGAACAAATCAGTCTCCTGACCCTTCACGTTGGGGTCGGAGTGAAAACTGCTCCTTACGTTTT